CCCCCCCCCGCTGCCCCCCCCCAACCTTCTCCAAGAAGTACAGGAAAAAAAACACTATTAGTTCCCTGTTCTGCATTTGCTGGAGAAAACTAGGATTCGGAAGAAGGTTTGGTTAAAAATTTGTTATTGTAGTCAGAGCATGAGATCATCAAGATCAAGGCTAAGAAAGGAGAGGATGCTAAGAAAAAGAGAAAGGAAAGAAATGTTAGCGGTGGGATCATGGGTGATTTTCTTTTTCTTCTTTTGTAAACTTTTCTAAACTTTCCAATTGTTTTTCACAATGATCAGATATTACTTTTTCAATCAAGAGGGAGGAGGATTCACATGGACCAAATTCCTCCTCACCCCCAAATAAGAAGCAGACTGATTGCCCAGTGTCATCCCAACTCTCCCTGTCCCTGTCCAGGCCTGCCACTCAGTCCAGTGTCCCCACAGTGGGGAAGGGACGCAGACCTGTTAAACCCATACTCTGCGGGTCACAGAAAGCTGAGCTTCCTGCCCTGAGGTCCCCCAAAGGCTGAGGTGCCAGGAGGCTGAGCAAAGAGCTTTCTCTTCAGGCCTGGCCAAGGAAGTTGCTAGAAATTGAGGCAGTCCATGCCCCCAGACCTCCACCAGATTCAACCGTGTCCCAAGAGAGAGGCCTCAAAATGTCACTTGCAGGGACACAAACCCGGGTGACCTGGCCCAGCCACACTTCTCTTTCTCTTCACAGGAGTCACAGGGCCGGCCGGCTCATGGATACCTGTCCCTCTCACTGCCAGGACTCTCTTCTCCCCAAAGACACCAGACTAGGAGTTTCCCCAGGGACCCCTGCAGACCTCAGACTGGCACCAGAGGTACTGACTCCTGCCTGCCCTCTCTCCTGGGCAGGATGGCCCCCCTCCAGCTCCCGTAGACAGAGCCCTGCTTCATCCTCCTCAGAGAAGAGTCTATTCTGATCTTTCATTGCTCTCTGTCACTCAGCAATGCAAGATCTCGTCTCTAACAGACAGGAAGTCCTTCCTCTTGTCTAGCCTCCACTCCATCCCTAAGAGCATCAGTCCCAATTGCTCGTGTCCCCAGGGGTGATGGAAAACTGCAAGCCTGGCACCCCCTTTATAGCATCAGCTGGGGCTGAGATCATTTTCTTTCCTTCTCGGTCACATCAAGTGCCCTCAGCCTTCCATTCTCCAGGATCAATAATCACCATGTCTTGGGTCCCCTCTGGACCTCAAGGGATCCAGAAGCCCAGTGCTGATGACATTGGAGCCCAGGCTGCACCCACACAGATGGAGGCCCCATTTCCCAGGCCCATCCTGGTGTCAGGTGCCCAGTGGGCAGAGGTGCCAGGAACCAGGTAGCTCTGAGAGGACCGTGACACCAGTGCCTCCCTCAGGGACAAAGGCTCTGGCTGACCCCACTCCCATCATCAGAAAGGCCCGCCTGGCCCCTCAGTCGCCTGGCCCCAGAGCAGCCTGGCAGCACGGACTGGTACAATCCTGCAGGACGTGGCCCAGTCCTAAATCTGACTCTCATTTCTGTCTACTCTCCAGGGACCAGCCCTCCCCCCCCCCTTATCTTG